GCCTCCCTGGGGGTGGGAAGACACAGGGGAAGGTAGCAGCAGCAGTCCCTAGAGGAACAGCCACAGGTGCTGCTGGAGTAGCTGGGGGCAGGAGCAGGGTGCCAAACAGAGGCACATTTACCTCTTCACAGTGGGGATCTTGCTGCACATTAGGCTGAGGCAGTGATTCCTACACATGCCTATCAACTCTGGAATTCCAGGCCTGGGGAAATCCTTACTGTGGGGCTCCCAGAGAGGCAGATTCTGGAAGCTTATTCTAAAACTTCCTGTCTCTATGGCTGAGATCCTAGACACTCTTGCTCAAGCCATGCTTAAAAGTTTTAGGTCAGTCAAGTGGACTCTTACATACCCTTTACATGAAGCTTTTAAGTTCTTTTTCCATCTAGGCTGATGTACCAGGATGAGCAACTCAGGGAGGGCAGATCTACCTGGCTAAGGACAGGGTGGAACAACACTGTTGAATCTCCTCTTGGCTGCACAAGTTCCTTAAGGGCATGAGGGGCAATACAATTCACTTTAGGAGAAGATGATGATTTATTATTTAAAAGTTTATTCAATAAAGTATACCACCAGCAATGTACTCTGATTAGCAGTGACAACCATTCGGACAGCTGGAAATACCTTCATGAAAGGGGTCTGCACATTCCTACTGGCTTTAAATTTTAAACAACGCCACAATTTTATGTGCTTCTGGATATTCAATAAAGGCAAAGGCAGCTATAGCAGTGAAATGTGCACCTACACTCCCTGTTCTATTATGTTGCTTAATGCCCAACGTGAAGTGCATTGCTCAACATTAAGCCCATTACGTATAACATCAGGAAATCAAAGCATGACAAAGGACCAAATGGGAAACATTTTTGCAAATCAAATCACAGTATCTATTTTAACTGGGAAATTAACTGCTTAAGAAGTATTGTTGATTTTTTTTAAAAAAAGGAAGTAAAAAATGAATTCTATCAGCATGTAACTACCCAGGCCTACTACATAAACTATCAGAAAAAAAATCTTAATCTTTTCCCTTCAAAATGCAAATCCAAACCTATAAAATGAAAAGCATTTAGACTTAAGGGACCCCTTCAGAAAATGTCAGCTGTTAGCTTTCACTCCTATTTCTGACTATGGAAAAAATGAGAAATTCTTATTTCTGGTGTGGAGTGAAATATGCTATGATGATCAGAAATAAGACAGTCAAAATCAGGTACATGACATTAAATTTATAAGCTAAGTACAGACATACAAAGAGCCCAAGCCTGAATTGGTTCAATCTTTGCAGGTTAGTCTAACCTGCATAGACTGAACCAAGTCACAAGTAAACAGACATTCACTTTTAATTCTGGAAATGTAGCTACATGCCTGCAGTGGCTCAGGCCAGAAGCCAGGGGGTGCCAGAACAAGTCCTCGGCTGAAGGGGAATTGAGTGGGGGAGGGGGTGGGCATGGCCAGGCTCTAGCAGGCCCGAGTATGATTGGGGAGTTGTTTAAACCAACACGCTGGCCTGCATCCTAGCCCCCCCATCCTCGGTCACTCACTGCTACAGCAGAAGATGCAGAGGTGTGGCCAGATCCCCATACCTTGAAGGGAAGGGGGAGTTTAATCCCCCAATGCAAGGGAGGCGGTGCAGGTACAGATAGCCTACACTTATGCGTCTGGTTGCTGCGGCCCCAGATGCCAATAGCCTGAGGGGAAAGAGGGGGTGTTAATCCCCTTGTTGCAAACAGGACCAGGTACCTCCTGCCTCCAGCCCTGCGTGGACTGTTAACAAGCCACCTACTCCCAGAGGCACTGGGTGCTTAGGCCAGGAGCGTGGGCAGTGGTAGGTAGAAGCAATGGACTGCTGCAACCCAGTCTAGCCTGGCCACGTGGCTCAGGTGTGTGGGAAAAAGGTGACCTGCAGCAGTCTGCTCAGAGCACCCAGCACCACTGTGAGCAGGCTGCTAGCGATAGGTGCCTCACCTCCACTTGCCATGAGATGGTTTGCTCTGCTGCTGCTGGGAGAGGGGCAGGAAGCCACACTGCAGCTGCAGTCCACCTGCAAACTGCAGCCACCATGCAGGGCTGGAGGCAGGAGGCAGTGGGCACTGACCCCTGCCTCCTAGGGCCACCCCAGCTTAGGTCACACTGCTGCAGCAGGAGGCAGCGGTGGGTTGGGCTCCATAATTAGCTCCAACTCCACCATACCCCACCTCCGCGCCTGCATCCAGGTCACATCTCTGCTGCTCTGCCCCCTCCCTGCAGCTGGACCTGCACTGGCCTCAGGCACTGCTCCTTGAGGGACTCAGCCCGGGTGTTGCAGCATGGGCCCTGCCTGAAGGGAACTTCAGCATGAGATGGAAACAAAGTTGTGTCGGTGCCCATACCACTGCTGCATGCAATGGGGAGATTAAGCCCTCCCCCTCCACTTTCCCTCAGGCTACCAATGTCTGGCTGCCGTGGCTCCAGGTGCATGAGCAGAGCCTATTGGTGCTTGCACTGCACCCTTCAACCCCCTCCCCTGCAAATGGGGGTATTAAACCTCCCATTTCCCCTCAGGGTACCAGGGTCTACCTTCTCTCCTGTCACTGGAACAGAAAGGGGGCAGGGTTAAGAGCGCTGGGGAAGTCTGGCAAGGGCTGCTACACCCATGCCAGGCAGACCCAGCTGCATTCCAGAGCAGGGTTTTGCACCCCCACCCCCTTTTTCAGCCAGCCAGAGCAGTGATAGTGCTCTGGCTATGGAGGAGAGTGGTGGGGCTAACCCTGCTTGGCTGGAACAGATAGTGCAGCCCAGCCCAGGGCTGTAGAGCATGCTGGAGGACTCCAGTTCAAACAAACCAGGAAGGGGTCTGGGACAGAAGTTCCATAAACCAGTTTGACCTCAATCAGTTAAGTCTGATACTACATTCAATCAGGTTTATCTGAAACCAGTTTTGGCCATTCTGAAGCTGGTTTATGTGCACTGAACTTCTGTTCTGGTTACAGGTTTAAACCAGTTTCTGATCACTTAAACCAGCTTATGTGCCACTCCTGTCCCGACCCATGAAGTACTCTGGCTAGCACAGTTAATGTCCAAGTCTGAAAAACTACAGACCTGGGTTCTATTTACTCAGGCCCCACTACACGTATTATTCAATGAACTGGTTAACTGTGCAATTAAATTTAGACTGGCTACACATACAAATTAACTACTGCACTAGAAAATGGTCTACCCTGCTATGAAGTTAGAGCTGAAAATGTAAACCACTTCATAGGTGGTTTCTATCCAGCTTTAAATTTGAACATGCCCCTGCAACTGGGAGTCCAGCCATATAGCAAGACTCCCAGCTGTGGGAACACCCCATGTGTTGCCATGGCTGTAAGTCTCATCAGTTAGAGTACTCAGAGCCCCGTCAGCATAGCTATAAGGAGTGATAAGATCTGATGCTGGATCCCACAGTCGCATCTCCCACAAGTCCAGCAAGTGCAATAGTTTGGAATGAGCACCAGATCCTATCATTCTTTTACCTGAACATCTAGAAGGGCCCCAAAATGATCAGAAGTGATCTTCTGTAACTTTAGCAAGTTATGGAGCAGGGGTTGGTGGTGAGGGGAATACTAACTAATACTAGACTGCCTTTTAGAGTTGACATTCATGGCATTGGTCTGTAAGGGCTGCAACATGAATGGAATTAGATACTAAACATTAGAAGTAAATTTTCAACATGGGTTTTAGATCCCTTTTCTGTTAACCTACACAGCATTTTAGAAAGCACACTAGTGAATTGCCCATCAAGAATGACAGCAGGGATAGAGCGCCACCATGACAGTGGGGATGGAGGGGGAGGTGCCCCCCCCCCGGCCAGTGCCATGCCACACCCCCACCATGCCACACTGCTGCCACCTCCAAGGAGCAGGGCTGCAGCCCTCCCCTCCCAGCAGTGCTGGCCTTGCCCCCCCACCATTTCTGATGGGCAATCCACCCTGCATGCAGCACTGGCTGCATCTATATCTATATCTATATCGAGAGAGAGAGAGAGAGAGAGATCTCACTATGTAACAGCAGAGGTGCTACCCACTGATGATGCCACTGGCAAATATGGCAGGCTATCTTCATAGTTTCAGGGTCGGAAGGGACCTAATAGATCTTCTAGCCCGACCCCCCGCCAGGGCGGGAGAACAACCCCAAAAAAAGCCGCCCTGACTGTGAAGTAGTTTTTTCGGATGTCCAATCTGTACCTCCTCTCCATCAACTTGTGCCCATTATTCCTTGTTATGCCAGCAGGGGCTAGGGGAAACAGCGTCTCCCCCAAACCCTTCTGGTTCCCCCTAGTGAGTTTATAGACGGTCACCAGGTCCCCCCTCAGCCTTCTCTTGTGGAGGCTGAATAGGTTCAAGTCCCGCAGTCTCTCACTGTAGGGTCTGCCCTGTTGTCCCCGGATCATGCGGGTGGCCCTCCTCTGGACCCTCTCCATGTTGTCCACATCCCTCCTGAAATGGGGCGCACAGAACTGGACACAATACTCCAGCTGCGGCCTGACCAGCGTCGCATAGAGGGGGAGGATCACCTCCCTGGCTCTACTCGAGATGCACCTGTGGATGCACGACAAGGTCCGGTTAGCCCTGCCAACCATGACCTCGCATTGTCGGCCCATGTTCATCTTGGAGTCAATAATGACACCAAGATCCCTTTCCGCCTCCGTGCTCTCAAGTAGGGAGTTCCCCATCGTATAAGTGTGCTGCTGGTTCCTACTACCCAAGTGCAGCACCCTGCACTTGTCCGTATTGAAACGCATCCTGTTCCTGTCTGCCCACCCCTGTAACCTATCCAGATCCTTCTGCAATCTCTCTCTCCCTGCTAGCGTGCTCACCTCCCCCCAAATTTTGGTGTCATCAGCGAATTTAAACAGGTTGCTCTCCACCCCAACATCAAGATCGCTGATGAAGACATTGAACAGCGCAGGGCCCAGGACCGAGCCCTGGGGGACTCCACTACCCACCTCCCCCCAAGTCGAATATGATCCATCCACCACCACCCTCTGAGTGCGACCCTTCAGCCAATCTGCAATCCATCTGACCGTGTAGGCGTCTATGCCACAGTCGCCTAGTTTATTAATTAGGATGGGGTGAGAGACGGTGTCAAAGGCCTTGCTGAAGTCCAGAAAGACTACATCCACCGCGACGCCTGCATCCATGGCCTTTGTGACCTGATCATAAAAGGCAATCAGGTTGGTCTGACATGATCTCCCCCTAATAAATCCATGCTGATTGCCCCTGAGCATCATCTCTGATGCCGGCCCATCACAAATGTGCTCCTTGATGATCTTCTCAAAGAGCTTCCCCCAGGATCTTGGCGCTAGCTACTTGGCCATGTCTCACTCAAGGAAAATACACCACAGTTTAAAACTGATGGAGCAGAGAGGACTATAGACACTTTCTTTATCATCCCCCTATTATTGTACCTTGAACTTGGCACCTTTCAAATTAAATTAGTATAAGTCTGGAAGCCACAATAACTTGATTGATATTTCATTTTCACATTTCTAAGGATGAGCATTAAATAACTCAGGGTCTCCCTATAGATGGAACTGCAATAAAGTTATTTCCAAAGCATCTTCTTTGTCCACAAATATTGGTTTAAGAAGTCCGCCACTAACCTTGAATGATGAGGTTGATGTAGCAGAGTATCCACTTGCTCCAGATACGAGAGACACCATGGAGCCATGGCGTCGTAGACTTGATTCTGATCCATAGCCAGATTCAGTCTTAAGAGAAAAAAAGCAGGGTAAGACTTTTAATAATGAAGAAATTATGAAAGCAGGAAAGACAAATGTTATTTCCTCTGAAACTGTCAGAACATTTTTTTAAAACCAGGAATTAGCATGGGTTTAGCAACTCAATGTATTTCTGCAATCCTAAGTGCATAGTTGAATGTAATGCTTTGAGAATAGTTGCTAGGAAAACTAAGAGATTTTGACTTTCTAGTTTGAAAAGACTATATAATTAGGAGAAATTTAGAATTGGTATGTCACATTATTCCTCAAATTACAAAATATTATAAAAAAATATTAGAGGCTGCACAATATTCAGCAAGAGCAATATCTGAAATAAATTTTGCAGTTGAATTGAGTTAGGCCAGGGAAAATGTAAAGACTCCTTTTCTTGGACATTTAAATCCAAAAGCAGGCATTTTACAGAAAGCTACAGCTACCATGATTATTCATGAAACTAAAGTATAGCTTTAGATTGAAGAAGACACCAGCCTGAGTCAAAGCTTCCAACCATTCAAATAAATCAGTGGAAAAAATTAAAATTAAAACCAAACCCAAACCAAAAGAAAGGCTCATCTGCAAAGCAGGTAATGGTACTGGTACGTCAGTAGTACCAAAACTACCACTGAGCTTGAAGGGCCCATTGCTTAAGTTCTATAATTATAACCTCTACCCTGAAGAATTCAGGATCTAATACAAGATAATATGAGATAATGGAAACAAGCAGCAACAAGGAGGAAGAACAGCAACAAGTTAATGTTGCTACATATATTGTTGCTGCATATACAAATAGATCATTTTGAATTTTTGGATCCTTACCTAGTCATTCTAAAGGCCTGTTTGAGATACCATATTTACTCAAATATAAGATGACGTTCCCCACACCCTCACATCAGCATGGGGGGGAAAAATGCTCCTCATCTTACAGTCACATAAAAGGACATTTCATTAAACACATTTCCTATCATTTAACTGCTGCAAAAAGCAGCATGTGCTCAGTAATGGAAACCAATTATGAAGTTAATTAAATGCAGCCAACACTGACCATAACTATATTGGCCTACACATGGCCTATATTAGGGAAACACACTGATGGCAACCTACTGCAAGAATAGCTTAGGGCAGTCCATCTGAAGAAGATGCATGGTAGTGCCTATATAGAATCTAATTGTTGGGAGGAAGGGTTGTGTCTTATGTTCTAGGTCATCTTATATTCATGTAAATATGGTAAGTGGCCTAAAGAGACTAGTCTATTCATGCTATCTGATGAAGCAGACTAGGCCTACAAAAACTTAGCATTTCTGAATGAGATCATCTTTAAAAGGTGCTGCCATACTCCACTTTCTGCCAAACTAGTTTAATGGCAATGTTCTTTGTATAACAGATACCTGAAAGAAAATGTATGGGGAGGAGGGAAGGGGGAGGTTGAGGCCAGTATGGTAAGAGACCGAGTCAAAACTAGTAACAACATTATGAAAGGCCTTGGAGATAAGAGAAGCTTCCATTTGAAACAGTGGAGCGATACAAGAGGTGAGAATAACATGGATTGAGCATGACATAACAAGGACAGACTCAAGACAAGGCTGCAGGAACAAGTTCACAGGATTTGGATACACCTAAGAGAAAGGAGAGGGAGAAATCAGAGGACCCCTAGATAACAGATCTGGGGCTGAAGGAGAAGATACAGGATCTGATGAGCGAAGAAACCTTAGGAGTATAAGGATTTGAGTTACATAGGCATTAACGTAGCAGTTAAAGTAGCATGAGTTCGAGAGATCATTCAGTGAAAATGAGACGTTAGAAGAAACAATGCAACATCAATGCTCTTTAAAACCCAGAGTAGGAAAGATCTATTGAAGAAGTGGCCACTGAGCTACAGGGAGAAACATGAAAAGAATAATGAGCAGCAAGCAAAAAGTAAGACATTTAAAAGGGAGACTACATATGAATCAGTGGCATTAAAAGCAAGAGGGAAGAAGATTAAGATGAAGATTGTGAGATATGTAGGTTTGGTCACGGTGAGTTTCTGCAAGGTTTACGTGAAAGCAGACAAAAGGTGGAAGCCAAACTATATAAATATATAAGATATGCTTAGATAAAAATAGGTGGAAAAAAGTATCAAAGCTCTATGTGCATGGCTAGAGATGAAGTTAAAAAAAACAAAAACACCAGAGGAAGGGGGGGGGGTAAGAGTGGTGCAGTTTAAGAGGCAGTAATGTGAGGATGAAGAGAGACTCAGAGCACATTTGTACTGTAAAGGTGAATCAGAGAGAAAGGAAGGGGGATACAAAAACGGTAAAGAGAAAGAAGGGGATCACACCAAGGTAAGTGGAAGAAGCTGGTAAGGAAGCAAGTCAACAAAATCTGGTGGTGTTACAGGTTAGGCAGTCAGCTTTATTAACTAAACTGAATGTTTTTTGAACTGTCATTCCCATTTGTCCCATTCATTTTCTCTTCACAGAACATATTTAGACAACAGGATCTACATGCAAAATAGAAAACGAGCGTTACACTTTATATACACTTGCTTGGTACAATGCTGTTTACAGAATTACCACAACACCCAAGAGCCCATGCTGATGATTTCAAGTGGGAGCTGAAGCCTAATGTAAAGACTTTGACAAAACAGAAATCACACCATCTCTCTGGAAATGCACAGATATTTGGTTTTGCTACCAATTAGGTCACATGGGATGAAGGTTTTTAGGTCACAGATCAGGGATCAGAAGAAACTAAATAAGGTGATGGTGTGCCATGTTTTCACTCTAACATCATTCTAGAGCACACAAGTGAAAAAAAAAAGAAAAGAAAAAACAGTTAATTAAAACGGGGTTGACTGGCATTTCTATAATTAAAGTCTAGAGAAAACTTCTATTTTATTCAGGATACATTTTGGGAAGGTTTTGACACAACATATTCCCCCATAAATCACATTTAAAGGTGTTTTCACAAAGTACATGCAAAAAGCGCTAGCAATCTGACTTCTGCACTTTGTCGAGTTCATATTTAAGAATTATTTTTGCTGTTTATTTCAGAATTTCACTTACAAATAGATGATTTTGTTACATTTACAAACTGACTGCCAAATATAATTTTTATTCTTATCTTCAAATACTCATTTATCACCATTGCAGTGCTCCCCATTTTTGCACATAATTACTGTGCAAAGACTTCAAAGAAACAACAAAAACCATTTAAGTAATATCTTAAAAGACTGTCTGAATTTAAAATACAAGTGAAAGATTTTTGGTCTATCAATTGATACAACAGCTTCTCACACTAGACTCCGAGAGTATCCATGCTGCTTCCATGACGAGTGTGGAAGCGCACAGACAACGGAAAGACATTCAAAAAGCCCAAGCCTGAATTGATTCACCCTTTGGAAGTTAGTCTAAGATGCACACCATAAACTGATTAATAACTGGACAGACATGCTCTGTTAAACCAGGAAATGCAGGCACATGCCTGCAGTGGCTCAAGTCAGAAGCCGGGGGATGCTGGAACATGCTGAAGAGTTCTAGTTTTTTGTATGTCTTTTTGTCTCGGACCAACATGGCTACCAAGCACAACCCTGAAACATGGAAGATGTCGAATTGTAGCTGATTTTGGATTTTAAAACTTAATTGCAGAACAACAAGAAAGATTTTTTTTTTACCTCCCTGCCTGCCATCTGACACCTCTGGGGAAGGAATTCTACCTGATTGTGTGATGGGCAAGTTTGTTTTTACCCTGAAATAAAATAGTTTTCTGTAGCATACTGTTAGGTTAACAATGATTTAGATTATTAAATAGTATTAGCTTTGTAGCTAAACACAAGGCATGACCTGTGGCCTAGCAATGTTGCTGACCACAAGACAGAATGATAGCTAAGCCAGCCATTTTCTTATGTCAAGTGCCTTAACCATTTTGTTAGAAAAAAGCAGAAATTAAGTCTGTGTACTGAGTACCAGCTGCAGCTAGGAGTGAAATAAGATAAGGGGGGCCCAGAGGGAAGAAGATGGTACAGTGGAGTACAGAAAATCAGATTAGAATGTGTAAGATAACACTAACTTTTTTCTTCTGAAAAAAGTACTGAAATTTGTAATGCACCATGTAAGGAGATGATTACCATAAGTATTGCATATTCAATAACCTTGTAGTTTTCTTTGTTAGAAAATGTATAAAAGACAGCCCCACCCTTAAGTCGGGGCCATTTTGCCTCTTCGCTGTTTTATGGTCTTTACTCGAGTAAATAAACTGCAGTTAACCCTTCACCCGCGCCTGTCTGGTCTCTAAGCAGCTAGACAACGGACACTAGGGAGTTTTCTCCCACGACAATTGACACAAAGAACTACTCAGCACAGCTCACAAAGTTACTCTCATGGACCCAGGGGGACAGTCTTCCATCTTCAGTTCCCTCTAAGCAAAAATGAAGTTTATTTTCTACCTATGGGGACTTTTTACCATCTTGTACCATCTACACTTTTCCCAGAGCCTGACGAAGGGACTTTGATCCCAAAAGCTTGCAGAAAAGGACAATTTTCTGGTCATGTTCCAGTTGGTCTAATAAAAGGTATTGTTCTGGAACCAAGAGTTCTAGTTTTTTGTATGCCTTTATAGTTAGGCATTCAGAATGGCTTTATAATGTAATTGTAGCTCTCTGCATTCTTTGGTGAAGCTGTCTGCAACTTCTTTTAACTGTTAATCAGCATGTATGATGTGACTGTCAGGTCTTTGTCAACATTTGCCACCTGGCACTAGCTTGCCTCTCTCCCCGCTTGGGACAAGGGGCAGAGACTGAAGCCAAAGTCCTGGGGGAGAAAGGGGACAGAGTGAGCAATTAACTCCATCCCTGCCTGTTTGCAGGCAAGTCATGGAGGTGCAGCTGGGGCTGGCAAACAGCAGCTGTGGTCCCCAGGGTTTGCCAGCAGAGCCCCACACAGCCCAAGAGCATGCCAGGGTGCTGGGGGTATCTTAAAATCAGCAAGGGGTCTGGGATAGACATTACATAAACC